GTATCAATAGCTTTGTCAATTCTATTTTTGATTCAAGAAGAAACCAATTGTCATTGGTCAGGAACTAATGTAAGTGCTGTTGACATTGTATCGGCTGTATTTTGAAACTCGGGTTTGGAAAACTCATAATGCCCAAGCCCTTAATTGAGTTGATGTACAAACAGAAGAACTGCTGTTTATATATTAGATATGGCAGAAGTACATTTGCCTGATAACCTTTTACCATCCAAACTGTTTCCATCCTTCGTCATCTCACATCTTTTCCGTAATTGTTTCCTTTCCGTTGTTTATCTAAGCAAGCCCCCCTCCCTTCCCTGCCGTCTTATCTTTTTATGTTTGCACCTAATATATTTTCTTTTACTTGTCGTCGCTCGTGGAACTTTGTTCAATGCCCCCACCCAGCTATGTAAAAATGTTCCTCCCTCTCCTCTGCTCCCCCCCACACACACACCGTTTGCAGCCTCCTCCCTCTCTTCACCTGGCACATGCAATGCTAGAGGGATGAGTTCGAAGGTGGAGTTTGTCAATGATGCACATGTATAGAAATGAGACCCCCCCTCCAACTTTTTTTTTTTTTTGTAAAGTATGTTTGCTTTTTTACTCTTTACTTAATTTTAAAAGATGGGGAGACCCGTAAAAAACAAAATGTTGTAGGCAAATGAATAAATATCAGTCTGGGAATAAACTGGGTCGGTATTGTTTGTGGGGGTGGGTCCAGCCTTAATATTTTATCAGGTTATGTTGTTGCCGGTGGGTTCAGGGTGGATACAGGAGCATGGTGTGGAGAGGAGGTTAAGATTTGATTAATTGCGGAATAGATTTATTACTTCCCTACTTGCATATTTCTGAAGAGATTCATTATTGATGGCAGCCATTATCATCAGAATTTTCTTTTGTTATTTCAATTGGATGCGAGGGTGGCATAATGGATAGCTGTACAGAATAAGAAATCGTGTAACCAAGTTCAAATTCCAGTCAGGTTCACTCACACGCAAAGGAAAGGTATGAATTCGTGTTTTCTTGCCCCTCCCCCATCTGTGGGTAAGACTTGTCTCTGAGAAAAAAAAAAATCATTGTTATTCACAAAAGTTAATAATTTCACCGAAATTAAGCAATGTCAAACCTGGTCAGTATCTAGATGGGTAACCATTTGGGAATATTATGTGCTGTAATAGATAACAACATGAAATTGGAAATTGGAGATTCATGGTAATTGTTCTGATGAGCTTTCCTCTTTGGTAC